TAGACGTGTTTATCGGTGTACGTGCATTTAAAACTCAATAATACTCGATTTTTCTTTAAAATTGTGATTTCAGTGTTATCGTCAAAGTTCGATTATCAACAGAGATAATAACTGCAGAGAAGAAAATTGTAATTTTTCGGCAATATATAGGATATTATAGCTTTACAAATATGCATATTTATTTATAGAGCATTTATGTAATAAAATATCATGAATTTAATAATGTATTAGTCAAATATTTATGTTAATAATAGCAAATTTATATCAATTGTCGATAATGTCAACGTTCTTCGATTACCTCCGGGCCCTTGGAGCCTTTTTTATACCGCCGAAAATTTGCCAAGGGTTGACGGTCTTTAATAGTATCTCGTCGGTGCCCGGAATTAGTAGAGCTTTAAATTTTAAATATTAACAAATATCAATATTATAAATATTAACACTGTTGATGATATTGTTAATATCTAGAATTCTACGGAGTTGTTTCCGTCAAGAGAAACGTTTCAAAGAAATAATTGAAAAAGTTGTTTCATATAATAATATAAAATAAGAAAAATATCGTGTATATATTTACGATATATTTTAAATACGTGTATGTATTTACGAGTCGGTAATATTTAATTTTTATTTGAAACTATACTTTTATAATTGTTATATCTGTGCTTGATGCTTATTTATATGATAGTGCAATTGTAAAAAAAATGTAATTTCAATTAAAGTATTATACTGCATTGTAAATATAGATATTTATAAAGTATATTTATATAATGTTAAATCGTGAATATTTCAATCATTAGTAATAATTTTTGCGATGGAATAGCTAGGACACGAACCGAAAAATCTGCAGAGGTTATCAGCAAAATTCTCTTTATCAAATAGAGGTTGAAAAAAGCATACACAGATGGCGCATATGAAGCTCAAGATATCGACAATCGATACCAAAATAAATCGCTCCATATCGATACCGAAACCAATATTACTGATTTTTGTAGACGTGGATCTGTATGGATCTTGTGGATGAACGCGGACTGATAATACACTTGCCGACAGGTACCTGCATTCGATAGTATCCGGATATTATTTAACAGCAGGTGTTTGATATCAGAGAAACACTGCGGCTGAATATGCCATATAGCGAGGAATACATTAAAGACAAAGTGACCGAGGGATTGAAAGCTGCACACGTGGTATGTAGATTGACTTTTCTGTCTTTTCTGTCGTTTCTTTCTTTTTTTTATTACTTACAAAATAAAAGCACATGACGTGGCATTTTGCTAGGAACTTCCTCTCGAAATTCTTGCCGATTAGTTTCGATTCGAAGATAGCTATTTGGAGCGACAAACTCGAGGATACTCGTATGACGGAGAATGCAGGGAAAGCTGCAGCTCGCTTTCATCACCTCCTTTGCCGTTCTCTTGAGATGCTGCATCATTTACCATTCTCACAGCGGAGAAGGCAAACCCCCTATGTACGGAGATTACGAGGCCCAACGACACTGGCAGGAGATCACGTTGAATCTGCCTCTTGACAAGTGGTATATTAATACCACAGACAATGATCTGCAATACTGGGGTTTAGATTATCCACCTTTAACGGCATACCACAGTCTCCTGTTAGGCCACGTTGCGAACAGGATAGATCCTTCCTTCGTGAAGCTGCGAGAATCCAGAGGATTCGAGAACGCTGCGCACAAGTACTTCATGAGACTGACCGTCTTAATTGCAGATATTTTTATTTATTTGCCGGCTATCATATATTTTATAATCAATTCACGTTTCTGGGACAGTTGGCAGTTTGGCGAATCTAATATATTCAAGTTTACAAGGAGAGACATTGCTGTTTTGACAGCATTGATCTATCCAGGATTGATACTAATAGATCATGGTCATTTTCAATACAATTGCGTGTCACTGGGTTTCTTTGTCGCCGCTGTAGCTGTTGTGCTGCAAGATTCATTCGTTATTGGCTCAATTCTATTTGTCCTAGCGCTGAACTACAAGCAAATGGAACTGTATCATGCTTTACCATTTTTCTTCTATATACTCGGACGTCACACACCTAGCAAGACGAGATCCTGGTTTCACTGTATTCGCACGTTGATATACATATCCTTCGCAGTGCTGCTGACGTTCTATGTTATCTGGATGCCGTTTCTAAAGAGTAGAGATTTATTTTTCAGCACGGTGCTTAGATTATTTCCTTTTTCCAGAGGTGTGTTTGAAGACAAAGTTGCTAATATTTGGTGTGCGATCAATGTTGTCTACAAATTGCGACAGATTTTCACGAACGAGCAATTAGCCAAGATCTGTTTAATAATGACAACGTGCGCAGTTCTACCAAGTTGCGTCAGTTTATGTTTGTCACCTACAAAGAATGCATTTATACTGTCTCTAATAAACTCTGCTCTGGCATTCTTCCTTTTCTCATTTCAAGTTCATGAAAAGTCCATTCTCTTGATTGCTGCTCCGGTTTTACTGCACTTTCACAATGATCCTCTCCCTTGCTTCTGGTTCTTGATCATCTCGCATTTTAGTATGCTACCATTATTTATAAAGGATAATCTGTATCTTGCTTATATTGGCACAATAATTTTTTATTTTTATTCCGTTTTTTGGATATGGCCCGATCTATTTTATAATGATGGAACAAATAGCTTGTTAAATAAAGATAAATCAAAATTGAAAGGTAGAATAAAACAATATAAGAAAAGTAAACTTCTCTCAGGTTTGTTAAATTATAGTAAAAAGTCTTGGCTTTTGCTCGCGTTTTATGGATCTATTTCAGGTGTGTTACTTCTTTCTATTATCAGCCAATTTGTAAAACCTCCTGAAAGGTATCCGGATCTATTTCCACTTTTAGTATCGATATATTCATGCGGGCATTTTTTAATTTTCTTTATATATTTTAATTACATCCAACTATTTGTATTCAGGAAAGAGAACGCTGCAAGTAAAATCAAATCACATTAAATGATGCAGTTACTGAAAACAGAGAATGTACAAATTGTTACAATTGTAAATAATAAATAAATAACTAAACATTTAAAATCGAATCGATCGTCATTGCTATCCTTTTTCCGTGACGTCGATTGATTCTCTCGCTACAGTCTTCTCACGCTTATTTCGTATCGTTATATAAAATCGTCACAAATATAAAAAAGAATTGTTAATTCTGTATGAGTAATTTAATTCATTATAAAGTTGATATATTAATTATGATTAAGTTAACGGCATAATAATATACAAATTATTAATTTACATGAACACTTGTTACGCATATAAATCAATTCTTTTTAACTGAATTTTTTGCACATTTCATTTTTCTTTTTTTACTTTTCACATTCGAGAAAAATAAACAGAAATTCAATTAAAAAGAACGGACTTCTTCTGTCTAGAGTTGTATGTACCAGCACGTAGAATAAGGTTTCAAAATCTTGAATTTTTTTTATCAGCAGTTATCAACATGTGTAAAAGCAAATTAAAAATTTGAATCTCATTTTAATTTATGATTGTTAGTTTTTTCAATACCTACAAACTACAAATAATAAATCAATATGCTAAGTTATGAGAACTGGATGATTGATATGCGTACATGTGTCTGCGTACTTATAATCCTCTGACAATGAGTGTGCAAATAATATTCAATGCTAAATATTTAACTTTAATTGCTTATTCTATACAATCACAATTACAGATATACTTCTGTTAACATTAAATATACATAAACATAACTAACATAAATTAAGACTAATGAGAGTCAAACACAGGTGCAAAATCTTAAAAAATAATAAAAATTATGAATATCCTGTCGATAAACGATGTCTTCTTTATTTTAAATGTTTTAACTCACTTTGGAATCCTCTTCAGCAATATAGATATATAATATGATATATAATATAGTCCTCTTTAAGCAATATAAATATAATGAAATGCTCACATATCCAAAAGGATTGTGTCACTCATAAATTGCCAGAGACGAAATAATGTAAAATCTGATGATACAAGAAAACTGATTATTATGGAAGAAAGTAAAACATTAAAAAGTGGAGTGATTCTCCTTAATAGATAGAGTGTGTTAAGAAGCTTAGATACATAATTATTCACAGAATTGCAATTTGTATAAAAAAAAAAGTACTCACAAGAAATAAGACATAAAAATCGGCAGTGTCTGTATTATGTCCGTGCGTTAAGATATATCGCACAAGTTTAAAACAGACGAATATTAAAATAGAAACGAAACGTCACATAGTATTATGTATATACAAGATGGGTTGGAGCTAGAAGATCTTCAATAAGAATATCTTCAAAGAATTGAAACTACTATTACTTGGGTTAAACATATAAGATGATGCTTGATTATATTTTTCGTTTATAAAACGAAAAATTTTGTGCACAATATATATATATATATATTTATATTTATATTTGTAATGAAATTTTTAAAATATCATTAGATAAATCTATCAAAAAACACCAACTGAATTAAGAATTATGTAAAATAATATATTATCCTGACATTTTTTTAAAATACTGCATCATTGGTAATATATTTTATAGTATATTATTATTAGAAAACAAGTTTTTAGTACACAGATTACATGCCAAGATATGTATCTACATAGCCTTGAACTTTACCCTAAGATTTCATCTTTACATTAATTTGCATTAACATCAGTGCGACATATGTATGTGTTTGGTGTTTTTATAACAAATCTCAACATTCTCTATTCTATATCCTAGTCTTAACTTAATAAGTAAATGAAACATCCGAATTATATATCATCTAATTTAAACACCATTTATTAATAAATTTAAATCTAATGTTGTACCGCTATGAAGTATGTTTGCATTCAGATGTATATATAGATGTGTGTTCTGACTGTGCTTGACATTTAGCCTCTATCGAACATTGATGCTAGGAAAAAAATTATTTGCATTCGTTAAATGTCCATCGGTGGCTTTAAAAAGATATTGTTTGCAGTACGTTATGTGTTACAGGAAGTAGTGGATCAATCCGACGGTTGCGGCGCGAAATTTTCAGTATTTGTCGTTTCTGACTTGTTCCAAGGGAAGCCGTTGCTGGTACGTCACAGGTAACATATCATTCTGAGATTATACATCAGTTTTCTCTCATTTAAATTTATTAATAAAATTCATGATATAAAGTTTCAATAATTAAAAATTTGTAACCCAGGCTTGTGTATGGAGTTTTAGAAGAAGAACTGAAAACAATTCATGCCATTTCGCTAACAACATTAACACCAGAACAATGGGAAAAAACGAAAAGCTGACTGTCGAATCTTGTTAAATCTCTTTTATGGATAGCAAGTTAATAACGAATTGATAAAAAGCCAGTATTACTTACTTTTAATTTACACAACATAAAAGATTCAAAAGAGTTTTTATATGAATGATCTTTCCTAGATCGCCCGTTAAATAAATAAATATTTCTAACAGAAATCTGTTATAACAGATCTAATACATTCTACCATTCAGTGTTATATCATTTTCTCGGATAAAAGAATTTTTAGTCATAAGAAAGATGATCAAGTTTGAGGTATCTGCACCAGGCAAGATAATTTTATTCGGAGAACACGCAGTGGTGTATGGAAAAACTGCTGTGGCGACTAGCTTAAACTTACGTACTATTATTAAATTCACTGAACTGCGTAAATCACAAGATTTAAAGAACATCATTAAGATAGAATTCCCTGATATCAAATTATTTTTTAATCTTCCTTTTTACGTATTTCAAAACTACTTCTTTAACGATAATTTCAATTATCCATTGGTCAAAGAAAATAATCAATTGCATAGTTGTGTGAGTGATTTTCTCGATTCAATAGAGAATCTGACAGACAAGAGCAATGATGAAATTATTACTGAGAAACAGAAATTAAGTTTACGAGCGTTCTTTTATTTGCTCGTTTATATTGCTTATGAAGAACGTATCAATATAAAAGAAACTTCCTTCCACGTGCATTTAGCCACGGAATTAAAAGTTGGTACTGGTCTGGGCAGTTCGGCATCATTCGCAGTATGTCTTGCAGCATGTTTTCTACATTGGTCGCTTCTACAAAAGGGCAATCACTTTACGTTTAATATGGAGGAGCTCGATAAGATTTCGAAATACGCTTTAAACTGTGAGAAAATTATGCACGAGTCTCCATCCGGAATCGACAATAGCGTATGCACATACGGTTCGGTAATAAAATTTCAACAGAAAGAGTTGGTGGATATGTTACCACATATGTCGAATCTGAAAATTTTACTCGTCAATTCGAATATTACTCGGAGCACAAAAGATCAAGTCAAACGAGCAGCGCATTTGAAAAACTTATACCCTGAGATCATCACTCCTGTGTTGGATAGTATCGATGCTCTATCGCAAAATGCTTGGGAAATACTTACAGAAATGAGCAATAACGCCGATAAAGCTACAGAATCTATGGAAAATGATTGGTTTGAAAAGTTATCGGTAAATGTCATGCGTGTTTGTGAACTTCAATATGTTATTTTGTTATATGTTTTTATAACATTTTTAAAACTCACGTATGTAATCTGTTGGAAATTGTAGCTATCTTTTAATGTATACTTTGCAGGTTCTTATCCATACAAATCAAGGATTACTAATCGCATTAGATGTGTCACATCCAACATTAGAGACGATTTGTGCAATGGCATGGACGCATTCATATGCAGGGAAGCTTACAGGTGCTGGTGGAGGTGGATATGCATACATTTTGCTGCCGTCAAACACTGAAAGCGAATCTATCAATCTTTTTTCACAACAATTAGAGGAAAAGGGTTTCGATGTCACGATGACCAGTCTAGGTGGTAGCGGAGTAAAAATAGAACATTAATTTGGAATAAATGGTTTATATATATTAGTAATTAAATATGAATAATCAAAATAATTATTATACAATGACATTCTTTGTGGAAGAAATAATTTTATATAATACTATAATATTCTGTATATACATAAATAATAAAGCACATATTTGTCAAATAAACACATGAATTATCATATTAAAAATAGAAAAATAACAAAATATTCTTTCACGCTAATAATACATAACAATATTAGATATGCCTATACATCGTATTAGCATCATACAGAACTGACTCGAGATGAAAGAATATATGTATTTGTTTTACTCTTTTAATTAAAATATTAAATTTTGTAAACTGAAATTGTTCATTTATAAGAAAACAATTAATAAATATAGCAAAGATCATTTTGCTCCGGATCCCACTATCTTCGAGTTCATTAGTGATTTATTTTAATCAAATTAAGCTTTTAGAATGACGAAGACAACGCTGCTTATCATCTGTATAAAAATAATATCAAAATGATATGATCCAATATACAAGATTATTTTTTATACTATACTTTATAATAATTAGGATCAAAGTATATTTATATTTGTCGCATACATAAATTATTATCACTATGAAACTGCATCAACATGAGTTCAATAATTATTTTCTAAAAATGAATCTTCGTAATATTTATGACTAGTTTGTAATATCAAAATCTACAAAGGAAGTCATTCGTATGCGTTAAAATTTTATAATTAATTGTATCTTTTAGAATTCTATATCGATCACTACACAGAGAGAATTTTTTCTTAGAATTTACCTTAAAAATATGGTAATCCTGAAATATTGTATTTCGAAGAATTTTATGTAAATTTCTCTCATTCATTAATAAAACTATAATAAAATATACAATAAGTTTGATTAATTTTACTGTAGTGCATGGCACATTTTTTAAATATTTTATTGTACCACAATTACCATATTTTCAGGGTAAATTAAAAAAAATTCTCTCCGTTTATAAAATAAAATCTTCAATATGTGAAACATTAGCTTTTCTTACTATCAAGATATATTCGTTAATGCTTAAACAAGCTACGTTATCAGGTCTGTTTTCTGTGGCTGAAAAGTGTACACTTTTGGAACTTAAAGTGAGATAGATATACGTTTGATATTTGTCGAAAGACAGTTCTACAGCAGTCTAGTGCAGGAACAGAAAACAGACCAATTGGTAATTGCACTTACACAAATGTAAGCGAGATTTATATAAATTAATCTTCAAACAAAATACGCGGGTCTAAGTCAAAAGTCTAGTTTACTGAGTAGGTATACTATCGTTTTGCTGGTGACGCAAATTGCCGTTTAGTATAAGATGATCGGTATCAGAGATACCATCGCCGCTTCCATCTTCCACGTTAAGTGTTACATTAGGTGTAAGTTGCTTTTCTTCGGACTTTGCTTCAGCTAGCCATTCATTTATTTCATACGTATACATTTTTCTCTGTAAAATCTCTCGCGTTCGTGGCCGTGAACCGATGAAAAAAGTGCTTCCTCCAACAACTAAAGAGTTGCGTAGATCTTCCAAAATTTGAAAATCTTCGATTATGCATTGCAATTCATTCCATTTTAATTCCACTTTTTCATGGAGCATTTTTTCTTCTAAAAATTGAAAAAAACAAATTATAAAATTGACGAAAAAGATCTCTATTGTTCAAGTATATATTTATTACCGTCATGTTTGGAAGTTGATTTTTTATACTGTATCCTAAATCGAAAAGCTTCCAAGAAACTGGATACCACAATAGTCAGTACGATCATAGTCACCAGATAAAATATCATGAAGTATATCCTTGTGTACATGCCCGCAGTAAATGCGTATGCATCCATTTGTATATACCAATTATTAACAACTGTTAATTCGAAAAGTGTAATACTACTCGCCACGAGATTGTCGAAAGTATTAAGATAGTAATATCCCAACGCTGAGCTGTCGTTGACAAAATACCGATAGAATTCTTTAACAGGTGTATTCCTATTGAACATATTTTAAAAAATTAGATTTATATACTAAAAGTTAAGAGAAAAAATATATAATTATCGTAACACTGATTTGATACTAACTGGCAGCAATTGCGCATGTCGTATCCGGCAAACAGTTCCATTCCAATGATGGCGAAAAAGTAATACAAGACCAACATGACAATTGCAGTCGAACACATCTGGGGAAATAGAATTACGAGAGTGCCGAAAACATCTCGATAGCGTTTTTTAATCTTAAATAATCTCAGTGTTCTGAGAGGTCGGAACACAACCAGAAATGTAGCCGACGGGAATAACACAAGAGCACACATAGCGACGCTGGTCATTACTGTTGTCCCGAAATCAAAGAGATTCCATCCAGAGCTCAGATAAGATTGAACACCAAGAGCTAATACTTTTACGAATGCTTCAGCAATGAAAACTATAATTTTATTTACATATTTTAGTTATGGATTTTTCCACATTTTAAGATATTTATTTTAAGAGATTTTTTTTACTCACGTTCAGCGAACAATAGAGTATCCCAACATGCAGCGAATGCGTGCACCGATTTCTCAAGACAGTTACTCGGTTCAAAGATTCTTATTATCATAGCGATGCAATTACCGATAATGATCATATCTGTAAAATTACAAATGATGAAATACAAAGCATTCTTATATATAAAATTATTTACACGTATTATACTTACACACCAAAGTTTCAAAATAAGACCATTTGATCATAGCATTGGCTCCTTTGCACAGCGTTTGCAAAGGCCACCACAGAGTGCGATACCACGGTATATCAGAATATTGCAAGGACCACTGAAGTGTATTGGCGTCATAAATCGATAAGAATTCCTCGCAATTTAAAGCGCCACTTCCCGATTTATTCATATGACAAAACATTAAAACAGTATCACATATGGCTACAAAAATCATATAATATTATTGTAGATATAAAATTATTTCTGTTACTTTCAGAGTTTTGTACGGCATGAAATTTGAGTATATGTTGTATGCGCGTTTGACAAAGAAATAGTACTAACGTTTATATATTAAAAAATCTTGTACACATACATTTATTCGGAGCATAGTACCGCATCAATCCTTCAAATTGACGAAATCGTATCTTATCAGGGTTTTGCTTGGAAACCAAAAGTTCGAAAGCGTGTTGACACGCTTTCCTTTTATGCAGGAACAATTTCTTGAATTTATCGCGCTCGCAAGACGTGAATGTCTCGTTTACCACCGCCAGCATTAAATTCATCATTACATACAACGTGGTACATAAATAAGATATAAAGTATATCGCATACCACTTATTTTGGTAATATGACGGCATCATTACATCCGGAAAGCTAGAAAATGCGTTGTCGATAAATTATATTATTAAATTAATTAGATTGTCAAAGATTGTACAATATATACTCACTTGGCAGTGGTAAGAAGAACAAACAGGCTGACAAAGCTATCTTGCATTGTGACGAAATGTTCGTTTATTTCACTGAACATGTAATAGCCCAATACGGTATATACAATAATCAAGAAAAAAAGAAGACCCAGCATATCTAGGATTGGTGGTAGCGTGAAAAGTATTTGCCTTATGAATCTCCTTACGCCGCCGCAATATTTCGTGTCTATTAAAAAGATCGGTCTAAGGGCGCGCGTTACACGAACATGCGAGGATTGCCGTACTAGAACTGTCATAGCTTCGAGAAACATGATTGCTAATGTGATGCACTGAAATAGAAATTATTATGAATAAGAGTATTCGAAAGAAGTCAATAATCTAGCTCAATAATCACACAGCCTATACATTTTTCATAATCATTTTCATCAAATCGTACGTCATTCTCTATTCATTTAAATTTCATGAAGAATATTGCGACGCGTCTGACATTGCACTAATTCCAAAACTCATTATGTAAGCTAATAAGGCATACATATTCGTTACAGTACCCATTACTCATTCGCACAATGCAGACGTTGATCGCTTAATAAATACACGACTGTCTGATACTCTTATATACCGTTGCATAATAATGATCAGTTACAAGTGTACGAACGAGCAACTATTCGGATAATCTGATTATACGAATAATCTGTTTTTCTATCAACACGTCTTCGTAAACTCGTTACTAAACTATGATGCAGTACTCTGTTTTTTTAAACATTTGTAATTTATGTAGAAATATTTCCAGTATAAAAGTATCTTACTTTTAACATTGTACGTTTGTGTTTTAACATAGGTGCCCAGCCAGTCCATCTCAGCTTTAAAGTCAATTGCACACCGATAGTAATTAACGCAAGTAATTCTACCGAGCCATGTACCCAAACTGGTACCTATGACAAAGAATATACATGAAAGATAAAGAAAAAGTGGTATGCAGTTTATCTATGTATGATGTACCTTAAATAACGGTAGAGCAGGCTCTTCTACAAACGCTAGAGACAACAGGATTAACGAAATCAATAAATCCAATCCATTATACCAACTGTTATGGACTAAGAAATACGCCGGCATATCTTCAGGATGCCTTGGATGAGAATCAAATTTCTCATTGTTTCTACCTTCCTGAAAGAATAATCATTTTGATGAAAGTGATAAAAATAATCTCATATCTTAATCTTGATCAATTAATTATAACTTGGTAGCAGGGTTGGATAGTGCTAAGTAATTTTATATTGTATAATCGTTACTTGTGAACAAAAATAACCAGATTCTTTAATAAATATGCTGTGAGAAAGGAAAAATACGAAAAATTATGTAAAATGGTCAAACTTTTTCTTTCTTTTTTTTTGGTTGTCCGTTCAGATCAATTAACTTTTAACTTTTACTTTTTTTATTAACTTTTTATTATAACAATTACTTTTTTTATTAACTTAATTTTTAATTCAATTAATTTCATTATGGATTAACTTATATATTTTAATTAAGTTAAATTTTCAAGGCTGTTAACTTTAACTTAACTTAAAAAAAAAGTTAACTTACCCAACCTTGTTTGGTAATACTTAACATCTTACATACCGATGCAGTATTGTTTAATTATGAAATACTTACAATGTAAGAAATATAAACTATAGGTTTCTGTATATTACATAATAACTACATAGTAGTGTTGCAGAATGTAATGTACTATAAAATACAATAGGGTATCCTTGAAAAAATAATTGGCCACTCAATTTTCCGCAAGCGGAACAGATACGCAAGCATACATGTAATCTCTGCATTCTGATAATTATTATCATTTTAGATAGACTTGCATAATCAATATATAGTTACCTCTAAATATATTGCAGCTTCACGACAGTTCATTTCCCAATGCATTTTCCAATGCACGTCACACGTGGTGAACACTGTATTCTCGGTCATGCTTTCAGTTTGACTCGTTTCGCACTTATAATTCAACTGATTAGTGTTGTTAGCATTACCAAATGACGACTTTACATGACTTCCCGAAGAAGGCGAGGATAGCATGGAACCATATTCTGCAAGAAAAATATGAAACTGTCTCAATAATCGTAACATACCTTTAAAAAAAAATCATAAAAATTTCTCGACAAATAATAAGTACTGCAATTAATAAACTTTCATAAATTAATAAAATTTCACAAATATAAAGCGTAATCTGGCACATTTGTTAAAGAGAAATTTCTACACTACATGCCGTCAACAAAGAGTTTCAAGTAGAATGGTGATTTGTCTCGTCCGGAAGAGACGGTCATTCAAAAGCAACATCCTTCCTATCAACAGCGCGCAATTCACAACGTTGTAGCTATTTCGTAATACAGGATACAGGAACTGTAGATGTATCTAGGTCAACGGGAATGTGTAGAGAGACTTACGTCGATTCGAGCCATTAGTAATCTCCTGATCGAGCGGCTGGTTTGTATCGTTGTTGAATCGTTGATAATTGGCGTCGTACTCACTGAGCCGCGACGAAGACATCGAAGCGAGCGCGTATCCCTTCCGCGTCGTCCAGCTAACGCGCGACCGCACTGGCTGTATTGTGCGCGGTCTCTCAACGTCGGCGCGTTACTATTGATGGGCCCCGGGAATCCTGGGATCAGCTCTTTGCTTTCAATGTGTTGGTGTGCACGGACGATTCCATTGACTCCAACTGCGCGACGCCCTAAGCGCGCGGGCGTATATACGCAAACGTGTGATACACTCCATGCTATCGTCTGTCAACGAGAGATGCATCGGCGTTATCTGCAAACCAACCGGGCATGTGCACGCCCATGTCTGGAGAGGGAAAGCGAGAAGAAAGTGCAATCTGTCGATCCCCATCTCTCTCACGGCTCGCGATTAGTTACACCACTGAGGTTGCCATCTGACACTTATCTAGGATTGTTTTCAATTAATTGTTATAATCAGGTGATGGAAATTCTTCAATAAAGCAGATTTCTATCTCGATCTTATTTCTTCGCTCAGCGATATAGCGAACTTCTTTATAATTGTAATCGGGAATCTTACGTATTGTTGGAGTTTTATACCTATATAGAGATGTACAATTAATAAATATTGAATTATGTATATAATGTAAAGATTCGGACACAATTCGTGGGAGCATAGAAATTAACTTCTGTCGTTGTCTTGTTGAAGCAAAATACAAAGTTTTAAAGTTCACGCAAAGAATAAAGACAGGTAGTCAGGATATAACACTCGTCGATTATAAATATAATCATAAAAAATCACATATAGAAGCTAGTAATTTACACTAATAGAATCTATTGTTCCTGGCTATGTAATGAAGAACACACGAAAACGATTGTCTTTCGATAATAACGGCCGAATGCCGCTACATTTCTCGTATATTTACGCATAAAATTACGTATAATCTGAGCGCTCAACCGGTCTCGTGTAATCGTACACTCGGCCGACTTTTATCAGCTACAAGTGCACCGAGCAATTAGAAATACTACCTTATCACAAAATAATAATTATATAATTACTTCTTAATTATTCCCATAATCTATAAAATTACGCAAAAATTACAAACGGAGATAATACACAATTAATGCAGGGAATTTCAACCTTGCAAGAATTTAATGCACATTGTATATCTCATAGAAAATAAATGGTCTCAGTGTAATTCAGTGTAATTTTCAATTCTACAAATGATTTTTTTTAATTAAATAAGAGGAATCCTGTTTTCACTAAATTTTTTTTTAATTGGTAGTTTGAATAGCGACCATAGGTCTATCCTTAAGCCTATTCTTTTTAAATGAATTCTTGTCCGGTTCATCTTTCCTATTTTTCTTTTCACGTTGGAAAAAAAAGAGGAAAGATAAATTGGATAAAAAATTCAGCTAAAAAAATAGATTTTTTTAAAATTTCTTCATCGCATCGTTCATCTTTTTTCTTTTATTTTCTAACATGGAGAGAAAAAGGAAAAAGATGACTTAGGTAAAAGATAGTAGTTCAGTAAAAAGACCAGATATCTTGTAACTTTTTCTCTAGGACGGAAATGAGAAAAGTGATAAAATTTCTCTATTATCTTCAACGAAAAAAATTTTCACTTTCCGCGTTTCTGCCTTCGAAAATAAGTTACTTGATCATTACAATTTCAGCTTACGCATTAGATACAGAGAAAACACGATTCTTATTTCTTGTGCTACGAAATCAATATAACTTATTCGTAAATCACGTACGTAAATTTCTATGTCGAATTCGAGAAGTGCTTGCCGAGTGACGTACATTACAAATGTAAATTCCACTTGTCACGTGCGCGTACTTCACCGATAAAGCAGTCCAAGAGCGACAACTGAATTACTATCCTTATCAGTTAATAAGTTTCACTTTTTCGTAGGACAATCTAGTCGAATATTTCTCTCTTATTACGTTACTCGTCTTCGTTTCGTCTACTCAAGATGATATGTTCAAGGTGATGAATCAACTTATTTTCTATGTATTCACGTTGCTCGTTTCAGAGTCGGAATAGTCTGGCTACGCTGTCAATATTAAAATTAGTTGATTACGTAATAGTAATTTTCAACACGAGCATTTGCCTCGATTTTCATCTGTAAAATACAAATTGTTACTCGCATTTTCATATGAAAAAAATATTTTTACAACTATTATACTAATGCGATCGTAGATGCGAAAAATATGTACGAATAAAAACGATTCGACTCGATCTACGGAGCTTGAACATTCAGGGCGACGTCCATCGCATAGACTGCATCGACGGCACTCACTTCGTAGCTGTAACATTAAACGACGAGATAATCGACGTTGATGATACTTATTGCGATCGACTCGACAATGAGTGGCGGGAGGTCCAAACGGATCGTGATAAAGTGCTTTTTTACACACTGAGCCAGATCGTTTATCCAAATTTCGACGCACCACGACCGGAAAAATACGAGTCGTTATATGCCTTGGTAGACGAATCCGATGTCATTTTACTAAGGTGGCAAGGAGGCAAAGCGATCGGATTTTATACCGTTAAACCTATAGGTAATAATGTGATGTAAGAAAAATTCAGACTGAAAATACAGATGCAACATTCTTAATTGTTCGTATAGGTACAGAAATATTCTCGACGAAAGAGAGATACATAATGTCTGTAGTAGATTCAGTGTATATTCGTTCGGAATATAGGAACCGGGGTTTCGGTACGGGAATCCTATCGGACGTAATCGCACGTTTCCCGAACGAAGACATCGGTTTCTCGAAGCCGATTTCCAGCGGAATGTTGAGAAGTGAGTATCCAGTTCCAACATATTAATATTTGTATTTATAATATGAACTTTTCTTATATAGTATTGAAGACATTTCTGATGAGTCGCAAGGAGTACCGATTGCGTTTCTGGGAGATCGCGGACTGTGATGTCAACGGGTCTCAACAATTGATATGGTGTAATTTAAAAAGAGCAGCTTTATGACAAAAAGCAGTTAGAATTTATTATAAAAGCTATCGCATAGCATAACAGGATATTTATACACTTGTAATTATACATTATACTTGTAGATGCATATGTATATATATGTATATCTAAAGAAATATATATATATATACGTACGTACGTACGTGCATACATATATACTATATATATATATGTACACAAACACATATATATGTATGTAGAAATTTTATATATATAAATGGAATATATTATTTTTAAAAAAATTACCTTTACTTAACGGAAAAAGGAGTATTCAAATTGCCTCATAAATGTATGAAACATATCTGTGTATATTATTTAATCCCATAAATAGAATATATTCATTTTATTTTAAATTACTCTTAAATTCGTTTAACAAAATTGATCCTATAACCATTTTTTCACAATTCACGCAAACTTCCACATGCTCGGCGTCAATGAATTTTATTGTCACCAATACCAATGATTTAGACGCTAAAGTATGAGCGGCAAACCTGTAAAAATTTGCAATGTTTAATCTTTTAGACTTAATTAAGATTGAAAAAAATATATTGAAGAGATGTTTATAAAATAAATGTAATTAGATTTACAATAAACGCATATCTTACCGAATAACTTCATCCTCGTTAGAAATTCTTGCGACATTTGCAGTCTCAAACACTTTTTGAGGAAGAGCATTTTTGTTTCTAGAATATGGTATTTTCGCTATGTGCTCGTTCATACCTTTCAATTTGGCCTTTTCCGCATTGAACATGCTTTCAGGCAAAGTCACAGATCTTATTATTTCCCCGATCGGTGGTTTAATACTGACCGGACACGAATATTTCTCATCGTTAATCATGAAGTCAATGTTGAAATTGGCCGGTTGAGTGGAATCATTAAAATTTACGCCTAGCGTCGAAGATAACGTAGCGTTTGCGTCAAGCGACGATATTTGCGTAAAATCATGAATAAACATACCCTTTTGTAAATTCTAAAAAAATAGGCACAAAATATATTATTTCATAGTAACATATAACAGTAATATGTTATATAACACTTGAAACATTACTCACTTTGTTTCCTATTTGAATTTCCTTAATGACATCGTTGCTTTCATTAGAGAACGTCAATTCGATACTAACCAAACTTGAGCTAACTAAATGTTGCGATCTTGTAAATCTATATTCAATTTTTAAACTGTGCCCTATGATGCTATTTAATAAAATAGTCTTTTTTAATGGAACGTACGACGTCAATACTTCTCGAACACTATCTATGATTGTTGAATTAATTGGAGTAAGAAAACCACCCAAACTAGGCGTCATCACAGGAGTCATTGGAACAACTAAAAGAAAAGATATAATAAATGTATTTTAATACTAATTTTTTTTAATTCATTTCTTATCAAACCAACCATCATCCAGATCTAATAGCAGATCGAAGTTGCTCTTTGGCTTTTCTTTAACTTCTTGTTTAATAGCTTTCGGTTTCTCTTCTACGTTTTCTTGAGTTTCGTTTTCCTCTTTTTCATCTTCAGAATCTGACTCCTCATCGCTGGACGATTCACTTTCAGAATCGTCAGATTTTGTTTCATTTTTCTTTCCACTGTCCGTTTCGAATTTATCCGATTCACTTGTATATTCCGAAGAATCGCTATCTTCGTCTGAAGATTCGCTGGACGACGAATCAGATGACTGGTTGTCTGATTCTGAAGTTAAAAACAGAAAATTAAAGATAATAAATTTAAGCACACGATACATGCGCAAAATGTTATTGGACTGTACCTTCAGCGGGAGTGCTTTCCTCATCACTATAGAATTTCTCCTTTTCTTTATTCTTTTTCTTTTCCTTTTCTTTCCTATTATGGCGCTCTTCTTTAAGCTCTTGTGCAGTAGGCGGCGCGACATCTCGTACAGATGGATCTTGCGTAACTTCCGGGAAAGGTGGTAAAGGCCGGTATCCTACGCATGGCATATCCAGGTAGTGAGACAGAGTGCCCAATTGATACTCCGAGTCTTTAAATCTAGATGTTAAAGTTGGTGCCGGTTTCGGTGCAAGGAAAACTCTCTTCGCGAATTGTGGAAGCTTCTTCACGTCACCTTCTTCCTCGAAGATGAAATGCCGTAGAAAACGCGCGCGGTCTCGAATGTCGTAATTTTGATCATATTTGGCAAGTTGGAAGACATACTGACAAAACGGCTTTGTTTGCGAAGGATTGTTCAAGCATAATTTCACGGCCAAATTTAAAGTTTGCAGCTTCACTATATCCTGCTCGTTCACGAAACTTTTCGCCATTTTTCGGAGTACATCCGGTGCTATCTTAGGAACTCTGTCAGAGTATTCGCCTAGGAGCCACAAGATAGACGCTCTGGCTTGAGGCACCGTGATGAAATCCATCAATTTAGCCATATGAGCGATAATGTCTTTATGCTCATTTGGCTGCGTTTGCAAGAGCTTTTTTATTACCACGACACTTTCTGCCACAATAGCCTCTGTGGAAAAATAAAAAAGCATAATGTTTAATATGGCAAGGTATAATATAAAATATAATGTAGCATGTATACTGTAAAAGAAGTTTACCATCTCTATTGCTTAACAATGATACCAATCCATTGAGACACATATCAGTAACTTCTTTGATGTTACTTGCACATCTACCGATTGCCTGAATGCTAGCACCGACAAATTCCTTGTCACTGCTGGAGATATATGTCTGAAATTCTCTCAGTATTACGCTGATGCTGGTTTCAGTTACCAAATTCGTCAGTATGTCGAGTTTTAGAAGTTTTATATGAGTAGGATCGGAAGTTCGCACAAAGAACGACTTCAAGAAAGGCTCAAACATTCCCTGTTGAATGCAGAATAGAATGAATACGAATCAGTTATGCCAGTTGAATAACAGATTAATTTGTATCTTGTCTCGGTGCCGCGTTTACCTTTCTCGTAATTGATATACTAGCAATACAATGAAGCACAATACTCTGTACTTCTCTGTGGCCTCTCAGTAATCTAATTAGTGCCTTTGCAGCAGTCATAACTTCACTTCTGGGAGCTGCATGATGGTATAATTGAGCAACCGCCATTACCACAGATGCGTTTCGACTTTGTAACAAAGGTTTCGTGTTTCTTAACAGCAAACGATGATCGGGATCTAACGTGAACTTTGGTTTCTTTGTATTGGAAGAATCAGAATCAGAGTCGTAAAATGGCCGATTTTCATCTTCTTTTAAATTCTGCAAATATTTTTAAAATTATTTTAAAACTATGTATTTAACTTCTCTCTTTTTTCTGTCTCGAAGATATATACTTACATCTGTATTTGGATTAACAAATTGTGTTCTGGCGTATCTAGTGAGCATGTTAACAATAACCACTTGACCCCATTCATCCACATCCACTAATAAATTACACAATTTTCTATAATTCTTATGGATAAGATCTATCCTTTCCGGACACACTTCTTCGAAAGCCATTACTGCTGAGCCTACCACAAGGGTAGTTTTATCAGACAGCAATTTTTCAAGTACGCCTATCAATTCTTCTTTTTGTTCATGGTCCAATGAGTATAATTTAGGAATAGCGTGAGCAGCAGTTTTTCGCACATACGGCGACATATCACTAGCCGAGTCTTTAATGGCCAACATCACAATAGGTACTATCATTGAAACTCGTATACTGGATAATACCCTCAAAGCACTTGCTCTTATGAGTTGATTGGGATCTTTCAGAGCCCTTTGAAATGTCGATATGGACAGAAGTGCCAAATCTTGTTGATCCTCTGCATAACGAACTAGATAAACATATACCAACTTTTTTACCTCGATATTCTTAGATACTACATTTTTTACAACAGCTGGAAACATTTCTGATGCATCTTTTCCTTTGGCCACCATCTGAAAGAAAGTTATTGTTAGTATTACTACCAAAGGCTATATTCTTGAAAAATATCACATACAAAAATTTACAAAAATATCATATTGTACATAGTTACGTAAATTTCTCTAGTATTTTCATATATATTTTTTAAGAGTAAGCTCTTAAATCTAATGGTGAATTCGATCACTCGCACTACACTGAATCAGTGCATATTAAAAGCTGCTTTATATAAAATATCTCAATGCGGTGATATAATATAATCAACTTTGACAATGAAATGATACACATATATTTTGTTAAATAACGTGACAATATCATTAGTAGATAGTTAATATTTATATACTTTTACATTTAACTTTGCTAATGTCATGTAAATCAGCTTTTCGTATGAACAGATCTAGTGTAGTGCAAGTGACCGAATTCGCTATAAATCATGTAATTACCCCAATTATACGTTTCATGGCTTCTAACTTGAGTCCATCTTTGTTACTGTCCAGCATCTCCTTAAGATCATCGTGTCTGAAACAAATACACTTCTATGAAAATATCCATCTGTGGCTGTGTTTGGTGAATATACTATCAGTGCTATTCTGTTGAATCCTGTTTTACATTTAATAAATAATAAAAGTTGCTTTTCATTTATACCAGAACTTGGATAATTCTCACTTGTAATATCATAACTTAATTGAATACATTCCTTTTCATTCTGATAAATGAAATTCAACTAAGTTTTTTACAATCTGCACAAGCTTAAGATCATTTGCTTTACAAAATCTTGTTAACTCATATTAAAAGTGAGGTTATAAATCTGTGTTACTCAATAACTTTGTCAGCAATGTAACCAAGTAATGACGTTATTATCTGAATATAAAATATTTAGGTAATATTCACACAACTTTAGATTTAGTATCACTTGTGTGAAAACAGAAAACAACTAAAGATGTGATATAAAGATATTGATAGCACATCCCTCAAATGCAGCCTGTATGTCATATTAAACGTAAACGTGTTTCTACTGATAAGATAGACATAACAAGATACAGGTGAAAGTATAACTCAGTATTCACGAATGTTGCAATTCAAGTATGTTGCAGGCTGACTTCAAATTATATCGTTCTGCGGTTAAAGGAACGATTTTTTAGGTAAATGAGACCACTCAATGAATCACATCTAGGCTAATTACTTCTTGTATTCGGGATGAAATAATCCACTCATGAAGGAAGGCATTTCCATCGTATCAAAGAGATCCGCATCTGGAGTGGGCGGCCTCTCGACACTGTAAGAGCCACCATTATTGGACATATTCGCGGCTGCAGTCAACATTCTTCCGTTTTATTTTACGCGAGACAATTCTTTTCCGAACATAAAAAAAAAAAAGAGACCAAGTATCCCGAAATTATCCACGCGTCAGGACACTCGTTCCCCGATTTTTGACAGCCGTCCTTAGCGAGCGGCCATATTGTTTCACGAATCCACATCACGGAAAGTGTAGCTGCACTACCATACACTTTCCGCGCATCGCCACCGTTCGTGGGCGTCATTTCAGCTGAAGCCTGAACTTCTCGCATGGTTCGTCTTTTCTCTTTTTCTCTTCACGTTAAAGAAAAAAAGAGAAAAAATGAACGATATATGCAAGATATTCAGCTAAAAAGAACAGATCTACGTTATATCGCGAAACGCACCGCAATGAATACTACGATTGATTACGACGATATCGCGGATATCGAAGAGATAGCAAGTGTTTTAATAATCGGATTAGTCGTGTACGCTGATTGGCTGATTGACTCTCGCCAGTCCCGCCATTCGCGCGGCTGGCGACGTCTTCGCAGTTCACGAGACGCTACAGCGTTTGTCGTTTGTTTCTCGCGCGGTTTGTTTGTAGAATTTAGGTATATCGGATGAGAAGAGGATCAGAAAATTAGATTAATTAATTTCGTCGCGCTTTACTTAACGGACGATTACCTCTCAAAGGATATTCGAAGTCAAACGTGTCATTCGTTAATCTGAAAATAATTTGGCCATTGCTTTTGCGTCTCGAAAGCGCGGAATAATATACGATCATTATCGGATAGTGCGATTTATGGTTACGTTTACACCGTGCGCTTAGTCCGCGACCTATACGATAGGTGTCTTTGTTTAATATACAGGATAAACAAAGACACCTATTGTATAGGC